AGAACGAATTTACAGGAAATTAATTAACAAACGGAGACGTAACAATATTACTATCTCCTGACTGTGCTCTTTGTTGTTATGTTGCCCACATGGCTTCCTTCCATGGAGCCTGTTCCTGCCTATTTCTTCCTTGGCAGACATCCTCTGTTTGTGACCTTTCTCCTTCCACCCTAACCAGTTGGGTTTGGCTTTTAATTTGATTGGCTTATTCTTCCTTATTGTCTTTTTACCTTAATTTGTTCCAGGTGTCTTCTCATCAGATCAGGCATCTTACCTTTTCCCTGGCGTTTCATCTCCATTGTCTCTTGGAGGAAATTTTTTAGTCAAACATGTTGACTACTATGCATACATTCATATCTCACTATCTGCATTGGATCACTGTATCTTCATCTTCAGGTTATCATCTTCTGTCTGTAGCCATTCTTCAGACTTTGGTCAGACTGTGACTGGGTAAGTTATCTTTTATATATATATATATATTTTTTCTTTTACAGGGGCTTTTCCATTTTTTTTTACAGTCTGGATCCTGCTCTGTGGCGAGTGGTGCTTGACCAGGTATGCTCCTCATAGCCAAATCCACACTGTAAGGTCATGTTGACTGCTTATTTCCATGGCCATAATACGCTCACTGTAGGTTGTAGGTTTGTCCTCACAATATATTTGCTTCAATTATATGCCTAATCCAGACTGTACTTACCTATGGATTTCATGGGTAAAGCAGAAGGGAATAGCTGCCCATCCCTGCCATGTCTTAGATTGAATAAGTCAGGTATAGTATGCTTTTCAAAATAGGGTTTTCATGGTCAACCCATTGCATTTTCACCGGTATTGTCATTCCTCCAGACTCTCCACTGCATTTACTCCCCCTTTTCTTCCAGTCGAGTATGGGAGTCCTTACGACTCTTCTGTTCTAAGCTGTTGGGGTGGTGGACCATGGAGGCATCCTCCTGAATGTGAAAATGATAAACTATACATATAATGATAAAACCATTCAGTTGATAGTAGTGTGGTGGTGTTCTGCTGGTGTAGATGACAAGATGTCTTTCAACCTCTGTACAGGGTTATCCGAGGGGATGTGGTAGCTCTGGAGTGAGCTGTCAAAATTGCAGTTCACCCCTTTGATTGGGATCCGTCATCCTACCACCATGTGGATGTCAGTTCCCTGTGACTGTGTTTTGGATTCCGAGCGAACCAATCAACATAAGTCCTCACACGTGCATTATAGGTGTCTCTGTTTCCTCATTCAATTATACCGTCGTTCTTGCATTCATGTTGTGGGTCATGATGGAGATACTTGCAGATTAATATGGTTCTTATTCTTATGCTATTCCTCGAGGATTTTGCTGTACCAAGGATGTTATTATGCAAGGAGCATTTCCTGTCAGATTGGTTTTAAGTTAAACAGTTTATGTTACAAAGACATCTTTATGATACCAATCATCCGGATGTTGGGTTCCTAGATCGGTCAATCACTTTCTCACATTGCTATCATGTGTCCCATTCGTAGATCAGGGGGTACAAGATACCCTCCAGTCTGCTGAACTTGAGCTGAAGATGGTATGATCCTCTTTCCAACCCCCACCAGATGGTTGGGTTTTGGATTGTTGTTAACTTCCCAGGAGCCTGGGTTTTGGATGCAGTTGACTTGCCACATATGGTCCATTGAGCCCTAGCCACTCTACATTTAGGGGTACATCCTTTTACTTTCACCCACATTCCAGTACTCTGTTAGGTTGAGATTTGTTATATGGTGGTTTGGATCCTTATCCCACCATTGTTCTCTCTCTCATAGGGATGTGCTCTTTCCTTTTTTCTCCCCGTGTCTGTGACACCTCATTCTAAAATGGACAAAGAGTATACCTGGTACAGATGTGGTGCAATCTCCTACGTATGATCCTGTCCTATGAGGGTCTATCCTGTTAAGGTGTTCTTTAGATGCTTTTGAGAAATGCTGCTTTATTTTTCACTCACACCATTCCCTCCACCTATTCAATGTGGGATTCCAGCTATTTATGTGAGATGAGGTAAAGTACCATATCCGAAGTTATAATTTTCCTATACTGAAAATATATTTTCAATAGGTACCTACCTCACACTTCTCACCCTTCCTCCCCACTGAAAATTGGTGCTTCCATTTTTTTCCAAAACTCGAAGTGATAATTTAGTAAAGTCGAATACAGGGAGTCACGTGTCAAGAGAGTATGTCACACTCAAGGAGGATTATTACATGATGATTTAAATGTGAGACGCATTTCAGTCAGTTGATTGTAAGGTACATAGGAGCTCAAGGCTTGTGGCATGTGAAAACATTTTTTGCATAAAGAGGGCAGCACTGAACAATAAGAGCTACTTCTGTGACAAGAGGTAAGTACCTATCAGAAATATATTTTCAGTAAATGAAAATTATAACTTCGTACAACCCAAGAACTAGATTATTCCTAAGTTTTCTAAGCTACGAATATCTCAAAATTGACTAAATTATCCAACTTCCGTTTCGAACATAACATTTTTAAGAGTTTGTTGACACTGAAAGCATTTTAGACAGAACTGAAACTTTGGATGTACATAGAAAAAGATATAATTTTCATGCCTTTGATTATATTTATAAATATATGTTATGGTCACTTATTCCAGTAAACTTGTGACTGCCAGCTAGTGAGTCATGTGCAGTTGTGACTAAAAGTATCTTGGAAGATTGTAGAATAATAATTTTAAAATTTTGGTCACAACCCTCTCCCTTTTAATGGATTGGGAATATACAGCAACTTGTTTTTTAAATGTGTATGTAAATACTAATATATTCAAGGAGAGTTTATTCCTCCTCACATCTTTGCTATATTTTACAAGTATTTTTTTCTAGATTGGTATTTATTTGCTGTTAATTACCTAAAAAATGGAAGATCTTTAGTTCTTACTTAATCAAAAGGGTATGCTAGACTGAGTAAGTGTGAAAACATCTGACCTAGAAAGAAAATGCACAGAAAGACAATAGTTCTATACATATTGAGAAATACAAAACACAACATAAAAAACCCTACTGAAAATATTTTCAAAAGTCTGAACTATACATATCAATATCTGTAAACTGAGGTCCCCAAATCCAATGAAGCTATAGATACTAAGTATTTTAACAATATTTTGTTTTTGCTGTGACCCCCCCCTGACATTTTTTTGCAGCCCCCACTTTGGGAAACCCCTGCCCTAAACTCCTTCCACCTTCATTTGATATGTCCTACTACTACTTATCATAAGAAATATGAAGGTTTGGGCTAAACACCATTCAACAAATACAAATTTTATATTTGAATGTCAATAGCATTATAGAATAATAAGAGTCAAAATGATTACAGTTATATATTAAAACCAAAATTTTATAATTTTCCAAATTAATAGTTTTGAAAATTAAATGGTATTTATCATAGAATGTAATAATAATAACATTTAAATTGAAAAACTCCATTATTCTTTCTGTTCCCAGTATAAGTTTTGTCCCATTATTTAGATGTATTGGACAGTTTACACCTAACGTTACTTTCTCTTCAGTATTGTTTTTTATCTTTCTCCCCTGAATTTCTTATCTTTCATTTTTTAAATTAGTATTGAAGTTTATAATACTGTTGTTTTCTCTTCCACTTTTTAGGTAGTTATTGATCTTTTCTGAAAAAAAAGTTTTATTTTGTTCCACTAGTTTTACAATTATAAAACTGAGAACCTAGCAGTCTTTATTCATCATATCCTTAGAAATTAGAAACAGTGCTCCACACAATTTTTTGTTTTTTTTTGCTGTTTATTCATTTATTTTAATTTAAAACAGATTATTTTCTGCTCCTTGTAGGTTAATATTGAGGTTCCTAATCAGAGTTCTTCAAGCCAACAGCTCCATCCTGTAAACAGCAAAAATGTGCAGCCAGCTGTTAGACAATCCCAGATTAAGGGATTGACAGTTACGCTATCAAAAAATAAAGAACCAGGTATGCAAATGTTTGAAGTCCAATTTGGCTTTACAACCAGGTGCTTCTGAGTTGGATGAAGATTTGATTTTTTTAAGTACACTGCTCAAAACATTTATGAAACAATCAGAATTTGTAACTTTGTTGTTATTATAAGTCAAAACGATTATTTTATAGTAATGTAAGTCATATCCCTCTCAGTGCATTTTTATGAGATTCAAGCATCGGAAGATCAAGTCATGCAACCTAAATGACAGTTTACTGGTTAGTCTGTCTATACTATATATAGTGTTGGTCATTGCTTAGAAGAAGGCTGTCACATAGTTCAAAGTACTTTCAAGGTGTTCATGACTCTAGCTAGACATCTGTATGTTTTACTCATTTGGTGAGTCATCAGACAAATGGAAATCAGATAATCAAAAATGTGTTGTCAGAAATTTGGTCCAAATATCATTAACAGAATCTAGATTTGCTTCCAAACTATGGTATAACTGTTTGGATGCATTGACAGGTCGCACTGTCATTCATGACACAAGCAGATGACTTTTATCTGTTGATACAGGTTTTGAGACTAAATCAATGTTCACAGGTGCAAATGGATGCCATGTCTGTGTACAAAAGGTTGAAAACAGGCTTCACAAAGTCAATCTCTATGCCACATGAGCAATGAGATGAATTCTTCTCATCTGCAATGTTTCCAATAAAACATCTGTGGACTAAAAGTATGTGGATAAATATTCTATTTACAAATGACTCATGCTTTAATCTGCAGCCAGATATCAGGCTTACATTAATTAGAAAGAGAATCTTGAACAGATACACCTTATCCTCATACAGGAACATGAGGCATATAGTCATGGTGTGAGAAAGAATAAGCATTGGTATAATCAACAGATATAGAAGGGATCTATGTTTTAAATATTTGAAAATTATAGTGTTAATTCATTAAATGAAATTAAAATATCGATAAAACATTTGCTTATAACTGCTAAAAATACATCTTACCTTCCCAATAAATATATTTTCATTTTATGTGAGTAAATAGTGAATTTTAGTTCTATGAACAAAGCTATTTAAAAATGTTTTCAAGTGAGCAATATAAATTGTATAAGAACATAATGTATCTTACTTTTCAAGATAGTTTTTCCTCACCTCCATGCTTGTATTTAGGTACTTTTAAATAGTTATTACAAATTTACAAGTAGTTACATCATATCACACTTAGAAGAAGCACAAATAGTAATTGATAAATTTTTCTTTACATTTTTTAACACAATTTAGTAGATAACAGAGTGAGATTTAATTTCAAATTGTTTTAGTTTTGCTTGAAACATCTTTAGAAATTCTATCAAATATTTTTTTTATAAACTATAAAATGTGAGTACTCTTATTCATTTTCTGTGCTGAGGTCACAAGTGAGAGAGTGGTAAATTTTTTTACAAGTCTGTGTTTATGTCATAAAGATAGATAAATATATTTAATCATCTCATGTCTAACTTTATCAACTTTACACTCTATTCTTGGTTAATCAAGTTTCCACAATATCTAACTACATAAATGTCTTATTGTTTTAGACTATATTTTACTATCAACATTTCATAACCTACATCTGACTATCCAAGCCTTAAAATTAGTGTTTTTATGTGGGGCCCCAAAAAAATAGCCACAATTGATAAGTAATTGTGAGAAAGTGAATGGTAACTGATAATAAAGTAAGATAGCATGGAAGCAGGCATAACTTTCTTTCTTTCAGTCACATTTATTTAACACAACATTCTTCTTTTAACCCTTTTGAGACAGGTCATGGGTGAAATTCCATATCATCTCGTTTGTCGACTCGCATTCAAAATTTTATTGAACTACTATTTCATGAACTATGCGTTACTCAGTTTGTTAATTTAAAAGCAAATATTAAAAAACACAGATAAACATCAATTTTTGTGTGGGTCACGTGATATTTTGAATGCAGCACTTGTTCAAATATAAGTTTGTGAAGTCAAAATACTTAGTCTATAGTTTTATACGAATTAGAAACTCAAATTACTGATATTGACAAACTAGAATATAAAATAAGAGCCTCTTATGTTTTCAATTTGCTAAGATATTGCTTATGTAATAAATCAAAGGGACCCCACCCACCTTTTTCCATTTTTGGAAACGATCCCTTATGTACACTTACTTCTACATATAACATGAATAACCAGTTGGAAACTCAGAATGTCCCCCTTGCGGTTTTCTAAGCCTTTCTAACATACCTAGCATCAATTCTTTCTTTTAAATTAATATTTTAATGAGGTAGGTTGGGTCTTTAGTCTGCTCAAAATTTCATATTCTTTTAGAGTAAAATAAATACATCTTAGTTACTAAGCTTGATAAATTATAGTTGAATTCTATGGTATTGAGGTAGTAATTTATGATTTT